CCGGCGAGAAAATGATAAGCTTTGTGAAAAAATCCCCAAGGATAATGCTATAATGTATGTTTTAGTATATACATGGTGCGTGAAAATAGCTTTTATTTGCGATAGCAGAGTTCATTAGTTCCAAAGTAGAAATTAAGGCTAATTCCTGGAATTAATTACTTCCTCCTCATTGGTTTCATTTCAGGTAGCTAGGATGTTACGTTAGCTCAAATCTAGATATAAGAAAAATAATCCGGAGCGCACGTACGGTAGTAGATTTCTTGAGTGGTAAACACAAAACGGTTAAATCCATCAAGTCGGAAATTTCAAGATTCTGTCTAAATTTCGCAATCACTTCTGATTTCTCGTAGCAACTGTTAGAAATGATTAAATTCTAGTTGGGGATGCAGTATACACATGCGATAAAAAGTTGGGTTTCGAGGAATCTCTTGTTTCATAATTGTTGAGCTTACTTCCATTTCGAGTGAAAGTGGTTGGTGAAGAGATTCGAAGGTCGATTCCACCAGAAGATGACGGCGGATTCTTCTTGACCAGCTGTCAATTGGCCTTACTGGAATATTCATGCTGACGCGAGGTTATATCATTCGATTCTGGTAAAAAGGTCCTAATCTTTCGTACGTCATATGATGAACATCATTAGGGCAAGGTGTCATCGTCCCAACCAAATTCAAACACAAACAGACTCATACACATACACATACAAGGACAGACACACTCACAGGCTTCGAGGTTTATATATGACCGTAACTAACCAAATCACATTATACTTGATCAAAGATGCCAGATATGGAGTATATATACAGTTTTTAGGGATTTGCCGGTGAATTGTCTTGACTCGTTAGCTTGAATTTCGTTATGACGATGATACCTTGCTCTGATGAGGTTCGTCATATGACGGACGAAGGCTTAGCACCTTTTCACCGGAATCGAAGGAGATTACCTTGGAATCAGCGTCAGCATGAATCTTCCAGTGAAGCTAATCGACAGCTGGTCGAAAGAAATCCGCCGTCGTCTTCTGGTGGAATCGACTTTTCAATCTCTTCACCAAACACTTTCACTCGACATGAAAGTAAGCTCAACAGTTTCCACCTACCATTATCACCCTTTGAAACGCCATTTTCTGTTGTTGAGTCATAGCAACCAAATACACGAACCATGTTGGCTTAGCTTTAATTTCGTTCGAAGAGAGGAGTGGAAAGGATTTGTAAATTGGCTGTCCCGGCAACTAGATGGGGATTGCCTATTAGCTGTGACTGTAGATTTGTGCGATTCAGCCCTCGGTTACAACTCTGCGACCCTGATGGATCCCTCATTAATCGTCAGACCAGAACATCATGTTTGGTGAATTATCGTAAACCACTTTTTCCACTCTAAAGATGCCTTTGGCATGACGACGAAAGCTCAGCACGCATTCATCGGGATCGTGGGATGACACACCGAGGACTTATTCACACAAGTCTACAGTCACAGCTCCAAGGCAATCCTCCGACTTTGGCTTGACCACCTGTGCATTTTCTGACCTAAAGGGCCATTCACATTGCACACAATAGCACACACATGATCGGTACTTTCAGAGTTAACTTCCTCGGAATCCCTTTAATGCCCAACTCTTAGCTCGACACGTCCCGGCAAGAGCTTTAGCAAATTCAGGACGAAAGCTAGTCTCCTCTGTCTCCTTAGCTCTCTTATTCCCATCGTTAGCTCTGCAACTTTGTCATTAATTTTCCTTTCTATCCTGTGGGTTTAGGAAAAATAGTCAGATTTGTGAGATGAATAATTTCTTAGTAGATTGATACTGGCCTACATTACATTTCGTTTGGAAATGCAAGTGAAATTGATTCGTAAATTGGACAAATTGGATGCCAAAGGAAGGTTGCCTTGGACTTGTGACTGTTGTATTGTGCGAAGAAGACATCGGTTCACCGTCCCACAACACCGATGACTCCGTGCTTAGATTTCTTCCTTCATTCCACGGGCATCGTCAGAGCCGGGAACCATAAATTACGAACAATCACGAAAAGACACAAAACCAATTGGCTGAAATCCCACTTTCTTCTTATACCAAACTTTGAGACCTCAGTGAGGCATTCCACTATTTGGTTGACCACTTTGTGCTTGTCCTTCATGCATGCATACGAGTAAAGTTGATTCAGGAAGGAGATCGGATGTGGTCACAACTATTCTTTATGTAAATAAGTTGGTGTGTGATGATGTTATCTTGAGTCTTGTTGTAGCTTTATGGATTCGTATGCGTTGTGTATAGGCAATGCTCACGAGTTTGTTGGACATTTTAAGCCCCAAACCAGACTCCAGGTTAGTCAAATCTTCTCTTACTTGCTGGTTCTGCCTGTCTCATCGTTTGTTATATCCTTCTCTCTCCCTCTAATTTTTTCCACTAGCCAGAGATAGTTGTTGCTTAGTTTCCTACACTCGTTCCCTTTCTTCAGGATGTATTTTGATTTGTTAATTTCAATTCGCTTCCTGATCTTCCGCTTAGCTGTGAAGTACCTATATCCGGCAAAACGTGATGACCCCTCACCATTCTGCTACTCGACCATTATATGAATTCCGTTGGTGCCGATTAGATCTAGGCGAGATCGAGACTTCAAGCAAATTTGGATGGGTAAAATCCTATCAGGAGTCAAGGCCAAGTGAGCTTAAACAACTTACGGAAACATACTTGTGGGAAAATTCAACCTTTAGCCCTTAAATTACTATTGGTGATCTAGGGTTACCATGTTCCTATTAACATTCTTATTAGAGTGCTACAGAGATATTCTTGAATCGTGGAATCAGCTCGGCTGCGGCAATAACATTTTATATTTCGTTTTATATTGGTAGGGGGACAAGTAACTAAATTTTCCCACAATGGTATGAGTATACTTTATATTTCTATTGAATTTAACATAGCCTTGTTTTCCCAAAAGGTATTCTCACCCAGGCCTAGGGAAACTGCTGTTTCGACCTTGCCTAGGTCTTATCAACACCCCCAGCGGGACTCGAACCATGACAGTTCAGCGTATACTCTCGACCCAAGGGAACACCTGGCGATGTGGCGTAATAGTTAGCTCACTGATATTATACGCTGCACTGCTCTGGTTTGAGTCCCGCTGATATCTAGGCGAGGTCCTGGCTACAGTCCATTCTTGCATGGATGAGAATAACTTTTGGGAAAGCAGGTCTATGTAAAGTTTAATGGAAACTTAAGGTATACTCATATAATTGTTGTAAAATTCAACTACCAGTCCTTCATCACCTTAAACGAATTAAGATTAACACAACCCATATGCTCTACCACTAGAGAATCCAGATAGTGCTCACAGAGATGGCCATAAAGGTGACTCTTTATGCCAGAATTAGCAACTATCTCAATTTCAGCACAAGTGGTTTTCGAGACTATCAGTAATCCTTGAATAAAAGCTTAGTACCCCAAGTCGCTTAGTGTGATCTAAGGACTGAAATAGGCATTTTTCTACTGTGAGAAGAGTAGGCCTCAGGATGCCTTTGAAGTTCTCGTAGCTTTGCCTCTCAAAAAGCTTTCTCACCCCGACTGGATCGCAGCTTCGACCTCGCCTGAACTGGTCTCATCAGATCTCTTAGATAGGATTTGATACCGGGTCGTGAGCATCGTGGTGATGTTACCACTCCATTCATTACACGACCAGGGGTGACGTGGATCACGTGACAGATGTGACATTCAAGGCAAGCCAGACAGCTACCAACTCAAATTTTTAGTGGGATTGTCAATTATGCAAGCATGTGCTAGTCATTGCAATTGATGATATTACTTATTTTCTATATAGACAGTTTTCAAGTCTATCAATGATTGGTATATAAGAACTTTGTCACCCTAGGCGATTGAAACATCGGATAGTTGAGTATTCCCATAATGGGATGAATCGGTCTTGCATAGAGGATAAGTAACATCGTCGATTACAATGGCAAACTAGTGCTTGCTTAATGGTTAATCCAACTAGAAATGTGCGGCAATGTCAAAAAACAGTCCTCCCTGGAGGAGCTAACCTTTTGGGAACCAAAGCTAAGTTAGATATAACGGAATCCTGCAATCTAATCATCTTAATAAAGGAAAGTTCAGCTATCAGTCCTTAAATAATCTTAAGCTCTTCTTGATTTCCCCTTTCTAATTATTTCGTTTTCCATTTTACCTTCCCCCAGCCGTGTCTTTATCGTCTTCACTTGTGATATAGACTTATTTTACACTTGGTGGTCCCCTTTAAGATTACTTATTTGGTCGTCAACTAATCACTTTTGACTAGTGTCAACAAGATTAAAGAATTCTTCAATTGACCCCAAGTTGTGCCATATCCCACAGCCACAATGATTTGGGCTTATTCTTTGATATTTAACTAATCATCGTGAGGATGAAAGAAAATGGACTAAAGCACCCGTCCATAGACTTACAATAAATATTGGACCATTCCAAAAAGGTAAAAATTCTCCTGTTTCCAATAAGCTAACCCTACCATTCTAAAATGAGGCGTCTTAGATAAAGATTATACTATGAACTGGAATTGACAACTGGCAAGTCCATCTTCCATAGCATGGAAGCCCTAGTGCGAATCAGATTTTAGATGATAATGTTAAAAATGCGTCATGTGATATTACGAAAAATGACCGCAACGCTAACCATGACAAGACTATTGCATATATTGCATCATATTATTATATAAATGTCTCAAGCTAAATGCAATCTATCTGATCCTGCATTTATACTTACTTTTTCTTTTATTAGCCGGTTTTACCAAGCCTTGTCTTTCTGCTCTTGCATCTGCTCCTTCGCACTCGATCGAAATCATGGCTTCTCAGGCTGAGGAATTCGGGAGTAAAGGTGAAGCAGAGCCAGATTGGCGGCAAGACCTGAGCCTGGTCATAACGCCTGTCTTTCACGAGAGCTCGACTGAGATTTCCCATCCTTCTCCAGTTCATCGAATCCACAATATGCAGAGTGCCAACAAATTTGTAATAGCGGAGGCAGACGACCAAACTATGGAAACCGAGTAACCTGGCTTTTGGCTAGAGCAGCAATTCGCGGACGATACAATACTAAGGATAGTCACATTTTAGTCCTGAGAATATGGAATTAGGCATTAGTCGAGACCAAGAGACATGGAAATGATGGCCAAAATGATGTTTAATGAGGTTTTAGCTGATTTTTTATATAAAATGCATATGTTCGGATAAACCTACCCCTAACTTGTGCAAACCCATCTAAAAATAAACAATTATAACTTCAAAAAAGTCCTCATTTGTGTTGATTAACTTGGCATTAATTATTATAGGCAAAAACTAGAGAGGATAAGAAAAGTCGGTCCAAGGCATAGCATATTTATTTACTTATTAAAAATGACGATATTTTAATAGAGAGCTAGGCAAGATATAAATATTCATTAGCTATCGTAGTATTAGCCATTAAAATATTCATTCTAAAAAATCACTCTATGATGCGGGTAAGTTCGATTAATGATAGCCTGAGTCGAAAGTATAGCAATGGGATATATTAGTTGTCAGGCCCACAGTTTATAAATGAGCTCGAACAATTAATTCGGATTTATTCACAGTTCTTTTATATTCGAATAATCGAACGAATCCTGTTGGGGTACCTTTTATTTCGTTTGAAGAGGCGAGTGGAAGGGATTTTAAAGATGGTTAAACCTGAGGCTGCGGTGATTGCGATGCAAGTGTGGTTGTAGATTTGTGTGAATATGTTACCGCCCTGCGACTTAT